TATGCTGATGCTGATTGTTGTGTTACCCCCACCACTCAGCATTTAGGGGTGGAGGTGTAACGTTCCCCTGTGTCAATTATGTCCATGTGTGTGTTTAATTAATGCTCTTTCTCTCTGTGCAGCTGATTGGCTGAAGGTGACTTAAAAGGACCAAGCTCCGCCTGCTGGATGAGCGAGGGAGGCCAGATGAGATGTTGTTCTGATGGTTCATGGTTCTTGTTCTCCAGCCTCGCTCCAACTCCGGACACTGATTATTGCACCTTGTTACAGTTGTTGTTATTGTTGTTGTTGTTGAGCTATTTGTCTTTGGGACTGGGAGTCACCTGTGTAGTTTAGGTTTTCCCAGTTTTTGGTTGTAGGGTTAGTCCCCGGGTTATAGGGTGAGGGGAGTGGCCTGAATCCGACGGCCAACTGCTGGTTGGTTCAGGGCTTCTCCCTCTTTTTTGTTTGTTTTAACCAGTCCTCCCAGTCTGCATTATGTTCAGAGGATTAACTGACAATTAAAGCTTTGTCAAAAACTGAAAAATCGTCTGGGCTTCATATGTTGTGTGTCTTGCCTTTCCCCTAGACTTATCAGGACCATAACAAACCCGAACTCTGCTGAATTCAGTCCTGCACGTTGTTCTGCTCCGATCTCAATTGCCACTGCTTTCAGGTGCTTCAGTTCTCTGTTGTCCAGCTGACAATCCCTCCATCATTTAGTTTAGATAAAAAATTGGACTGTCTTTTCGACATTTTGATCGCTGTTATTTTGATAAATTAGTGCCGTTGTTAATACGTGATGTAATGTGAATAATACACATCAAATATTTCACTCGTATTTATTTTTTTTACTGTAAGCTTATTTATTATATCTGAAATGTTATGCACCTCAGTACTATACGTAGCAGTTCCGACACAGCAGTTGTGTGCACGTCCTGCAGAGCTGTCTGGAGACGCTGTGCATAAATCAACGGTCTGGAGGGCGCACAGCTGAAGGTGAATGAAGTCGCTCCTCGCGGGACATGCAGTCCGCGTCTCTGCTGGCAGGAGCGTGTGTGCAAGCTGGTGAGCGTAGTGCGGCCAGAACATCCACTCCACAGACTGGGCAACGTCTCCTCTTATTGTATTTTTAATAAATAATCAAAATAAAAATGTGCAGTGACTTTGGGCTTTTAGGTGCGGAGATTTGAGTTGCAGGATCTGAGCGGTCAAAATGAGAGAGTTCCCGGATCTTGTTTCAGCGGGATTCAACTCAAATTAACCACTGCCTGTCAGCTTGGTTTATGTTGACTCAGACTCTTGGTGTTCCTAACAGTCAATGCCTGTCAGGAGTCTGGAGGACTTGTTTAAACTGCATTCTTAATTTTTTTTTTGTGTGCTGTGTTTTCACTGTTTTTTTAAATTGTTTAGTAAATTTTTGCAAACAAACTACCGGTACTTCTGCATACTTTGTACTACTTTACCATTCATATATCAAAATGGAGGAACTGTGTGCTTTGACTCTTGTTTTATAATTAATATTATTTACATTTATTTAACCAGGCAAATCCCCATTGAGAGCTTAGATCGCTTTTGCAAGGGAGGCTCAGACCTGAAGACAGCCTAACATGCATGTTTTTTGGACTGTGGGAAGAAACTGGAGTACCCGGAAAAAACCCACGCAAACACGAGGAGAACATGAAAACTCCACCCAGAAAGACCCCAGGCCCAAACCGGAGTCTGAACTCAGGACCTTCTTGCTGTGATGGAAAAGTGCTAACCAATAAGCAATTGTGCTGTGCTTGCTGTGTTCAGTAATTGAACTACTTTATAAGATTTTAACTTAAAAAAATCACCACAGACATTTTTGAATCTTTCTTCTTTCATCTTTTTCCTCTTCGGGGTCTCCACAGCGAGTCATCCTATCCATCTCTGTCCTCTGCATCCTCTGTCCTCACTCCATCTACCTCCATGTCCTCTCTAACTGCATCCATATATCTCCTCTTTGTCTTTTTCCTGGCAGCTGCATTTCCAACATCCTTTTACCAATATACCCACTGTCCCTCCTCTGGACATGTCCAAACCACTGTCCCTCATCTGGACATATCCAAACCACTGTCCCTCCTCTGGACATGTCCAAACCATCTCAGTCTGGTCTCTCTAACTTTATCTCCCAGTTGTTCAACCTGTGCTGTACCTCTGATGATCTCATTCCTAATCTTATCCAGCCTTGTCACTCCTAAGGAGAACCTCAACATCTTCATTTCTGTCACTTCCAGTTCTTTCTCCTGTCTTTTTGACCTTTGCTGACACCTTTTTGTCACAAACCACTCCTGAAACTTTTCTCCATCCACTCCATCCTGCCTGGACTCTCTTTTTCACCTCTTTACCACAATCCCCATTTTCCTGGACAGTGGACCCCAGATACTTGAAGTCCTGCACCTTTGTGACCTCTGCTCCTTGTAGCCTCACTGTTCCACCTTCTCCCTCTCATTCACACACATGTATTCTGTCTTACTACGGCTGACTTTCATTCCTCCTCTTTCAAGTGCATACCTCCACCTCTCCAAATTCTCTTCCACCTGTTCCCTGTTCTCACCACATATCACGTCATCTGCAAACATCATAGTCCATAGGGATTCCTGCCTGACCTCATCTGTTAGTCAGTCCATCACCAGAGCAAACAAGAAGGGGCTCAGGGCCAATCCTTGATGCACTCCCACATCCATCTTGAAGCTATCTGTCACTCCTACAGCACATCTCACCACTGTCCTGCTGTCCTCATACATGTCCTGTACTAGTCTAACATACTTCTCTGCCACTCCAGATTTCCTCATGCAATACCACACCTCCTCCCTCAGCACCCTGTTATATACTTTTTCTAAATCCACAGACACAAAGGAGTTCTTTCTGACTCTCTCTGTACTTCTCCATCAGCATCCTCAAAGCAAAGATGGCATCTGTGGTGCTCTTTCTTGGCATTAAACCATACTTCTGCTCACAAACAGTCACCGCTCATCTAAGTTTTGCTTCCACAACTCTCTCCCAGATCTTCACTGTGTGACTCATCAACTTAATTCCCCTCTAGTTGTTACAACTCTGTACATCACCCTTGTTTTTAAAAATGGGCACAGCACACTTCTCCATTCCTCAGGTATTTTCTCACCCTCAAATATGCAATAAAATATTTGAGTCACTGCCATCTCTCCAAGACATTTCCAAACATTCACTGGTATGTCATCAGGTCCTACAGCCTTCCCTTTTTTCATTATTTTCAAAACTTTCCATACTTCACCCTCACTAATCTTTCCCACTTCCTGGTCCACAGTTTATTTGAGCTCTACTCTTCTTTCCCGTTCAGTCTCTTCGTTCATTAGCTCTGCAAAATATTGGTACTCCTTCCATTTTTCCGTCCCAGTCTCCTCACTTGTTAAAGCACCACCATTCCTATCTTTAACAAGCCTAAATTGCTGCACATCCTTTCCACCCGGATCCCTCTTTCTCACCAATTGATACAAGTCCTCTTGCTCTCTTTTGTGTCCATTCTCCCATAAATCATTATATGCTTCCTGCTTTGCCTTGCACTATTCCACCACCAGGTTTCCTTATCATCCATTCTCTGTCCAGATGACACAACAAGTACCTTCTTACTTGTTTCTCTAATTACTGTTTCTGTAGTTATCCATTCATCTGGAAGCTCTTTCTTACCACCCACAGCCTTTAATAGCTCCTCTCCGAACTCCTCACAACATACTTTCTTCTTCAGCTTCCACCATTTGGTCTTACTTTTTTCTCTTCTCCACAACAAGTCATTCTACACACAACCATCTGATCCTATCTGGCCATGCTCTCCCTGCCACAGCCTTACTCTCCAATCCCCCTCAGGTTTCCTTTTCTACACAGAATGTAGTCGACCTGCATACTTATGTTCCATAGTCCATAGTCTACCATAGTCATAGTAGACCCTAGTCTACAGTCTACAGTGTTTCCCCTAGATAACTTGCCATGGCGGGGCGCTCCTCTCATCTGTGGTTTTTGTCCGGGGGGGATGGAGACGGACAGAGACAAGTACTGAGCTGCACAGCGCTGTTTATACTGACAGTTTTACAGTTTTGGAGCTGGGGGATAGGGGGAATGAGAGAGACAGAGACACATCTGAGCTGCGTGCTGTGTGTACCGACAGTTTCATAGCGGCGGGGTGGGGGTGGGTCAGTGTGGTTCATGAGGGAAGAGGCCAACTTTAGTTTTTTAGCTAGAACACCTGGATTGCAAGCCGCTAGCTTAGCATTACGTCAGTGCCGACAGGTGGTTGGGGGTGGGGGTGGGGGGCACGGTTTGGTAGAAGGGGCGCTTGGTTCTGTTGATGGGGCAAGGCACCCCGCTTGTATAATGGCAGGGGAAACACTGGTCTACCTATGTTCTGCCCTCTTTTGGAAATAAATGTTGACCACATCCATTTCCAGTTTAAATATTTTCTATTCCTTTATAAACATTCTTTTATAAATCTGCTTGGGCAATTATGCTCTTATTTTGTCTTCTTTTGCCACTTTTTACTTTTGGTTAATATTTGACTACTTTAAGCTTCTAGCAATTATTTTGCTACTTTTAGCTTTTAGCTACAGATGTGGTGCATTTAAGAACAATTAGGCTTTATAAAACAACTGTTGCATTCCTTTTACCTATTAGCTACTATCCAGCTTCTTTTAACTATATTCTTGCTATCCAAAAAAGTTCAATCTGGTCCTCTGGACATTCAAAAAAACAAAAAACAAAACAAAGCAAAAAAATATAGAAACGTTTCGTCTCTCATCCGAGAGACTTCCTCAGTCTGAGGTGCTGTTTTCAGATTTTTTTGCTTTGTTTTGTTTTTTGTTTTTTTGAATGTCCAGAGGACCAGATTGAACTTTTTTGGATTTATTTCCAACTTAAATCCTGTAACTTTTCCCCACTTGGTTATGTTAAAATCTTGCTTTTGTTAAATTATTTGTAAATGTAATTTTGCAAAAGATACAAGATGGATTTTCATCATTTGGACTTACCTCATATTTCTGATGTTTCATTTGCTCGATGAAGTCAAACTTGTCAGATTCCAACTGATAGATGCTGTTCCACATCTCTTGGGCACGTGTCCTTAAAAAATACCAGAAGAACATTCAGAACTGTTCATTTTCATTTCTGAGGTTTCTCAAATACGATAAATGTTTCTTTTAATGGGTTTAGCTATCTCAACAGTGAGCTGTGTTTATTTAGGTTGTAGCTCACAACTGTATAAAAAGGTTTTAGCGTGTGTAAAATAATAGCAATTTGCCTCAAAGGGCAAGAAAACAGCTAACCAACTCCACACAAACAGCTGGTGCCACTTTTTTTTTTCAGCTTCAAGAGACTTTAAAATACATTTTACAACATGCTACTTCAACACACACGCACACACACATGTATATATATATATATATATATAATTTCCCTCTGGGATTAATAAAGTATTTTTGAATTGAATTGAATATATTTGTTGAAGGTTAAGTTTCATAGAAAAAACTTTTTTTTTAAACACTTTTCTCACGTAGGTGATGACTAGCTACCAGCACAAACTCCCACCCTGTCTTGATAATCTTCAGACTAAGGATTTGTGTCATCTTTATCCTTAGATAGCATCCACAGCAGTTTCCAGGAGGAGTGGAAGAAGGGAGACAGGCCGCGGAGGGTGGCACAGTGCATGGGTCCGGCAGGAATGTTTGATATAACCCACCTCTCTCCAAGCTTCTCCGGCCCACTGGGAATTCACTGAGACCTACGTGGTCCACGTGATCTGCAGCTCGGTTCATTCCACCAGAACCCCACTCTCTGACTCTCATGGCGTCTACCTCCATGATCCTCCTTCTGCCTACATGGACCTAATTCTACAGAACAGTTCGGTTCCACGAGGGACTTTGAATGTTCTGTGTCTGCTGGATCTGGTTCTGGAGGGCAGTCATCGTCTGCGCTGCTAATGGGACCACACTGCTAACAGGACCACACAGCTAACAGGACCACATTTCTAACAGAACCACACTGTTAATAGGACCACACTGCTAACAGGACCACATTGCTAAAAGAACCACACTGTTAACAGGACCACGATGCTAACAGGACCACACTGCTAACAGGACCACATTGCTAACAGAACCACACTGTTAACAGGACCACATTGCTAACAGCACCACACTGCTAACAGTACCACGCTGGTGGCATGACCACACTGCTAACAGAACCACACTGCTAACAGGACCACACTGCTAACAGGACCATGCTGTTGGAACGCCCACACTGCTAACAGGACCATGCTGTTGGCAGGACCACACTACTAACAGGACCACACTGCTAACAGTGCCACACTGCTAACAGTACCATGCTGTTGGCAGGACCACACTGCTAACAGGACCACACTGCTAACAGAACCACACTGCTAACAGGACCACACTGCTAACAGTACCACACTGCTAACAGTACCATGCAGCTAACAGTACCATGCAGCTGACAGGACCACACTGCTAACAGTGCCAGACTGCTAACAGGACCACACTGTTAACAAAACCATGCTGCTAACAGGACCACGCTGCTAACAGAACCACGCTGCTAACAGGACCACACTGCTAACAGTACCACACTGCTAACAGTACCATGCAGCTAACAGTACCATGCAGCTAACAGGACCACACTGCTAACAGTGCCACACTGCTAACAGGACCACACTGCTAACAGTGCCACACTGCTAACAAGACCACACTGCTAACAGAACCACGCTGCTAACAGAACCACACTGCTAACAGGACCACCCTGCTAACAGTACCATGCAGCTAACAGTACCATTCTGTTAACAGGACCAGACTGCTAACAGAACCACACCTAACATGACCATGTTGCTAACAGGACCACAATGCTAACAGGACCACGCTGTAGTGTTTTTATAACACTTTTTTTTTTTTTGGTTGTTTTTTCTTGTTGTATATTGTTGTCTGTACTCTGTATGTTGTCTGTCCAAAACCTCGCGACTCAGTAAAACTAAATGTATAATAAATAAAAGTCAAATAAAAATAAATTAAAATCATCATCCTCATTATCATCATCATCAGGGAATCCATTTTGAGAGCAATAAAAAACTTAATTTGAATGTTTAATGGAGCTCAGAAGAGCTTCAAAAGAGGACTCTAACCTCATGACAAGCTAAAGGAAATACATTTGGCCAAGGGCGTCAGAAGCATCCGTAATGTGGGGGGACACAATGATTGGTGGTGGTGGTGGGGGGGGGGGGGGGTACGCGTGCATATGTGCACGCACGTTAAAAAAAAAGGTGTTCACTAGTGAACAAAAAAGCAACATTTCACTTAGATTTCCTTTAATTCCACACATTTAAAACATGTTTCTCACCAAATTTGTGTGGGAGTGTGGGAGACATTTTAACTTTAATACAGAGCATCAGGTCGGCACTATTTGTCTTTATAGAAAAATAAAAAACATCACCACTAGACTTTTTTACTTGTGTTCAACACTACTCATCTAAATGATGTTTCTCATGAAGCTTGACGACAATAAGGTGTGGGGTTTTAAAGACATTTCAACTTTAATGCACCTGAACACACAGCATCTCTTACACCTGCAGCGTCTTACAGCGTCACAGTTACTGCTAAGCTAACATGCTACAGATGTAGCTCTTCTCAAGCCTCCTCCTAACATGAATATATGTTCATGATCACCCCCCCTCGGTCAACAACTGCCCGCACAAAGCTCGCTAAACTGGCAAGCGATCAACACTGAGGTGTCTCCACCTCCTCCACCTGTGCACGTTTTCAGCCGAGGCAGGAGGAGACGCACAGAAACACTGCAGGTGTTACACCATATTCTGTGACCACCGTATATTGTGACCATGGCAACAGGCTGCTGTGTTTAGAGTTGGAGGTAACCAGGAAAATCTGGAGTGGAGTTTTAGTGGTTTGAGTATTCTCCTATTAATCAAGTGGAATGGATTTGTTCACGAAGAAAGAGAAACTGCGCCGCCTGATCTAATGTTTTATAGTGTGTGTGTGTGTGTGTGTGTGTGTGTGTGTGTGTGTGGGGGGGGGGGGGGGGTCCAAATGAACGTTTTTGGAATGTGGGGGCACTTGTCCCCTTCACATATAATGGTTGCGACGCCTACGCATTTGGCGGAGAACAATAAAGTTCATGCTCAATCATCCAGGTATCAAATCCAATAATTCTCGGTCAGGTCAACTGTCCAGATGACCTGACTGAGAATTATTGGATTTAGCTGAGACTCACCGGAGACTATCCTCCCTCAAATGTTCAATGCCTAGAGGTTCTCTTCTCTCAGCCAGAGTCTTCCTCTTGATCTCTCTGCCTGTGAGGCGCTTGCTCTTCCTTGTCTCAGCCTAAAACAAATCAAACAACACACACTTACTTTCTGTATCACCTGCTTCTTCTCATCACTGTTCTTAGGAATGGCAACATGTCTGACCTTGGCCAGAAAGCCTCCAAAGTTTGCTCCCATGCCTGACAGTACTTTCTTCTTTTTGGCATCATCATCAGCCTTCTTCTTGGCCTCCTCTTCTTCTCTCCGGTGACGCTCCTCCTACAAAGTCAGATAGACAAGAAAAAAAAAAACCTTTGTGCTTGGATTTAATCTATGGGAATAGTGCATTTACATGGAGGAGTGTGTCTGTTACCGCAATTCTGTTCTGTCTGTCTTTCTCCTTCTCTGTTCTAACTCTTTGGATTTCTGCTCTTTCTGCTCGACGCCGTTCCTGAGGAAATTGTTATTGAACGCAAAATGTTTCACTTATATTCTAAAACTCATTTTGAATTTTACTAAAAAGCAATAATATGAAAGTAGGCTCACAATTCGATCCTTGAGACCAATGAGTTCCTCTTCATCTTTCTTTCTTTGCTCAAAATGCACATCAATCAGAGTATGCAGCTCCAACAGGTCCTTCTCCATTCGCTTTCTGTGAATGTCCTAAAAATAAAGGATTTTTGGCACTTAGACATTTGTAGAAACAACTAAGAGTCAGGATGGTCAGACACGTTCTATTATGTCAAAACAGAATTTAAGGTATAGGCAACGATAACAAGGATCAGCATCCACTGTTAATTATACGTGATACTTTCAACTGCAATGTTTGTACATTCACTGACAACATGTTTAAGCATCCAGATGTTTGGAGCACATGCAACTTAGTAATAGGTATGTTTAAACCCTGGTGCAGTCTTTCACTAAGACAATACCCATCTACACAACATACTGGTGCTGTCCACCTAAAACAATTAGAATATGGTGAAGAAGTTCAATTTCTTTTGTCAATCATTTCAGAAAGTGAAACTCAATATTTGACATAGATTCGTTACATAGAGTGAAATATCTCAAGCCTTTATTTCTTGTAATTTTGATGGTTATGTCTTACAGATAATGAAAAACTAAATTCAGGCTCTCAGAAAAGGAGACAGTGAAGAGGTTCATATTGTAAACTCCTGGTGTCACACCCTGATCAGCTGATGAACTCCTGGACACGAGCTACAAACGTCTCATTCTTCACGTCCAGACACTCCTGAACCAGAGACATCAGAAATGTCTTACCTGCTGAGGAGACAAAGAACTGGACTGTCTCTCAGTGTCCAATGCCTTTTTCACATGAGAGTAAATTTTCATGTCATTTAGAAATCAAAGTCCCAGAGTCAGGAGGACGAGTGGAGAGGTCCAGAATCCACGTAGTTTAAAGTCCAGAGTGAAGTTTCCACAGTCAGTGATGGTTCGGGTCCATGTCCTCTGCTGGTTCTGGTCCACTGGGTTTAGTCCACGCAGCATCTAGCAGGACATTTCAGAGCTCTTCATGCTTCCTGCTGCTGACGAGCTTTATGGAGATGCTGGTTTCATTTCCAGCAGGACTTGACACCGGTCCACACTGACAAAGGTACAGGTCCTTCTCAAAGAATTAGCATATTGTGATAAAGGTCATTATTTTCCATAATGTAATGATAAAAATGAAACTTTCATATATTTCAGATTCATTGCACACCAACTGAAATATTTCAGGTCCTTAATTGTTTTAATACTGATGATTATGGCATACAGCTCATGAAAACCCAAAATGCCTGTCCCAAAAAATTAGCATATTTCATCCCACCAATGAAAGACAAGTGTTTTTAATACAAAAAACACCAACCTTCAAATAATCATGTTCAGTTATGCACTCAATACTTGGTCGGGAATCTTTTTTCATGAATGACTGCTTCAATGCGGCGTGGCATGGAGGCAATCAGCCTGTGGCACTGCTGAGGTGTTATGGAGGCCCAGGATGCTTCAATAGCGGCCTTAAGCTCATCCAGAGTGTTGGGTCTTGCGTCTCTCAACTTTCTCTTCACAATATCCCACAGGTTCTCTATGGGGTTCAGGTCAGGAGAGTTGGCAGGCCAATTGAGCACAGTAATACCATGGTCAGTAAACCATTTACCAGTGGTTTTGGCACTGTGAGCAGGTGCCAGGTCGTGCTGAAAAATGAAATCTTCATCTCCATAAAGCTTTTCAGCAGATGGAAGCATGAAGTGCTCCAAAATCTCCTGATAGCTAGCTGCATTGACCCTGCCCTTGATAAAACACAGTGGACCAACACCAGCAGCTGACATGGCACCCCAGACCATCACTGACTGTGGGTGCTTCACACTGGACTTCTGGCATTTTGGCATTTCCTTCTCCCCAGTCTTCCTCCAGACTCTGGCACCTTGATTTCCGAATGACATGCAAAATTTGCTTTCATCCGAAAAAAGTACTTTGGACCACTGAGCAACAGTCCAGTGCTGCTTCTCTGTAGCCCAGGTCAGGCGCTTCTGCCGCTGTTTCTGGTTCAAAAGTGGCTTGACCTGGGGAATGTGGCACCTGTAGCCCATTTCCTGCACACGCCTGTGCACGGTGGCTCTGGATGTTTCTACTCCAGACTCAGTCCACTGCTTCCGCAGGTCCCCCAAGGTCTGGAATCGGACCTTCTCCACAATCTTCCTTAGGGTCCGGTCACCTCTTCTCGTTGTGCAGCGTTTTCTGCCACACTTTTCCCTTCCCACAGACTTCCCACTGAGATGCCTTGATACAGCACTCTGGGAACAGCCTATTTGTTCAGCAATTTCTTTCTGTGTCTTACCCTCTTGCTTGAGGGTGTCAATGATGGCCTTCTGGACAGCAGTCAGGTCGGCAGTCTTACCCATGATTGCGGTTTTGAGTAATGAACAAGGCTGGGAGTTTTTAAAAGCCTTAGGAATCTTTTGCAGGTGTTTAGAGTTACGTCGTTGATTCAGATGGTTAGGTTAATAGCTTGTTTAGACAAACTTTTCATGATATGCTAATTTTTTGGGACAGGCATTTTGGGTTTTCATGAGCTGTATGCCATAATCATCAGTATTAAAACAATTAAAGACCTGAAATATTTCAGTTGGTGTGCAATGAATCTGAAATATATGAAAGTTTCATTTTTATCATTACATTATGGAAAATAATGACCTTTATCACAATATGCTAAGTTTTTGAGAAGGACCTGTACCTAAAGCTGGTTCTGGATCATTCTCGTTTACTGAGACACTGAAGTTTAGTTTTTCATTTTCTGTAAGTTATAATCATCAAAACTACAAAAAATGAAGGATGAAATATTTCATTCTTGTAATGAATCTATTTGAGTTTCACTTTCTGAAATGATGGACAAAAAATGTATTCTAAATTTTTTACAATACTCAAATGTGTCTATGGACAACCTGCATCATGTTGGACGTGAAGTGTGTCCTTACTGCCAACTCTGGTATCTGTTTGATCTAATGCTGTAATTACTGCACTATCAGTCATATCATTTATTTTACACCACTCTGTTCCTTGTTGAACATTGTTTTGTCACTGAGTGTGTGTGAACACTGGCCATTTGAAATCAAGATGGTGGTTTTTGGATAGCACCTGCAACAATTCAACCTTTATTTAGACAGGTAATCCCATTGATCCTCCAGGACTCATTTACAAGAGAGACCTGATTACAAGGTAGTTGGTAATTAGGGCCAAGTTAACAGTTTATTTTAAAATTGTAACAATTAATGAAAAAATTAAGACTCTTTGATTCTCAAATAGAAGATGCATTTAGCTTTTGTATGAAAATTAGAAATTGTTTGAAAGAAAGCATTGATATAAGTTTGAGCACACCCAGAATGTAGGAACATTTGAAGTGTTAGAGGCAGCCCTCAGCGGTAGAGACAGTAGGACTGTCTATAGGCCTGTTTGTTCCCAGGCCACCTTAGTCTGAGTTGAACAGGCTGCACGTTGGTCCAAACCTAAAACTGAATAAATACCGTATTTTTTTAACTATAAGACACACTGGATTATAAGTTGCAATATCAATGATCGGGTTTGTTTTCTACGGTGGCCCTAAGGTGTAAATGAACAACATTTGACAAAATGGAATTACATCTGAAAAAACAGAATTACATTAAGCCAAAGCGGAAGTTGCCCAAATCACATTAGAAAAAACAGAATGACATTTGAAAAAAAACGGAAGTACATTAAGCCAAACAGGAAGTTTTTTTTTATTTACTTTATTAACTTTATTATAATTATTATTATTACTTATTATTATGATTATTATTCATTTATTAACTTCATTTATCAAATGTAATTCTTTTTTTTTTTTTCAAATGTAATTCCATTTTTTCAAATGTAATTCCGTTTTTTTAATGTTGTTCATTTACACCTTAGGGCCACCGTAGTTTTCATACATAAGGCAGACCTGATTATAAGGCTCACTGTTGATTTTTGAGAAAATTAAATGATTTTAAGTGCACCTTATAGTCTGAAAAATACAGTAAGATGTTTATTGATGGACCTCAAGTAACAAGTAAGTTCAGAAGTAAAAGCTCAGACTGTTAGCTTCCTATTGCCAAGCTGTAACTTCAGTAGCACTGGCTGCCTTGGGTAAAATTTCTCGTGTCTACGCTTACATCAAAATCGACCCTTTCTCCTTCAGGAATTTTTGGAGGAGCAAGTTGGGGCACCAGAGGTCTAAGAAAAAAACAAAATAAAATGTCAGAGACTAACAGAGTATGATGAAATGCTTCGGATAGACTCATGATAACGGAACATACTTGGGTTTGGGGCGCTCCTCCTCTGTAGGGAGAAAAGCACAAATGAGTGAAATGTTTTTAATACAGAGTAGATATTTTTCAAGGGATGAACGTGCTTCTTAAAATATTAAATGAAATAAATATAAGCAAGAACTGACACCAGAAGTGAAACAAGTTATATTTAGTAATTAGGACAAAACAAAAAGGTCAGACTCACCGTACCACATATGCAAATGATTCAAAGGTATACTTAACTACTAGACAAGATTCTGATCATAAAAGCTCTAAAGATCTTCAAAAGCATATAAAACATTTGAAAAGAAATTACACAGGAGATGGACTAACAGTACAAAATAAAGTATGACTTTTCATTAAACTTTGTGGGTTGATGTTAAAAGACTTTAGTCCAGCGAGATTTATAAGAGTAGTTTGAATATGTTAGGTAATTAATGAGGGAATGTGGCTCTAAGTTTGAGGGTTTTTTAATTAATAAATCATAATTTTATGGTTTCTCACCTTCCTCCTGGGCATCTTGATCTGATGGGCCAACCACATGAAAGCATAGTGAAAGATGCAAGGATGGTAGAAAACAATATATGGGATGAAACAGATGTTATTAAAATGGGTGAAATGTGAACACGAGGTTGGCATGGCAACCATAAAAGTATGGATGAAGAAAGTAAGGAGCAAACAGAGATAAAGAAAATGGGGGAAATAAAACAGAGATGATAAGCTGCAGGAACACAAGTTCTATGATAATATTAAATCTGGCAGAAGCACAAAGCTTAAAGAAATAGTTCAACATTTTGGGATATGTTTACAGTACTGCTCAAAAGTTGCTCACTTCCCATCATTTCCTTGATTTTCTTTAAAAGAAACAGACATTTTTGTAACTACTTAAAAGAACTGGATCTTCATCTGGTTTTTCTAAGAACCTTTATAAACTTTTGCTTTGGACTTTGGCAGTCTTTTTTCCTTGTCTTCATTCTAGTCATTGCGTTTGACCTTTTTTCGTGGAATTTTTGTTTTATTAGTTTGTTAAATCTCTTTTTTTTTTTTCCTGACATACAAATTCATTAAATGAACTGAGCCCAAACAAGAACTGAAATAGGATCTTTAAGTACAATTTGTTACCTGCGTGTCATAAAAAGGTAATACGTTCTAGTGAGTTAACCAGAAGGAGAGTGTATCTCTTGGACATCCGCTCTTTTCTGAGAGTTCTTTTCTTTGTAGACTTGACTTTTTAATACTGTTTATCTTTTGCTCACATTGTCCAGGGCCTGTCACTATTACCGTACTTTCTGGTCTATAAGACGCTACTTTTTCCACAGGCTTTGAACCCCATGGCTTATACAATGCTGTGGCTAATTTATGGATTTATTTTATTTTATTTTTTTGACGGGTTAACGAGCTTCCTTATTCCAAAAACATTTAGCTTCATTGCACCAGGTAACTCACATAACTGCCCAATACATGTCTCTCTTGGGGGGTGGGTCTTGGTGACACACACAGACAGAGTGAGCCAGCACTTTGATGCAAGCCGACCAACAGTTGTTAGTACAGATGCCAGCAGCTATGGTCTGGGCGCTGTACTGTTATAGGAACACGATGGAGAGTTGCGGCCTGTTGCCTTCTGTTCTCGCACACTTACGAATGCAGAGAAAAGATATTTGCAGATCAAAAAAGAGTGTCTGGCATCTGTTTGGGCCTGTGAACGTTTTACCCGCTACATTCAAGGCATGGGCTACGTACATCTACAAATGGATCATAAGCCATTGGTTCCTCTAATAAACTTGTACGACCTTGACAAAACACCACTGAGATGTCAGAGACTGACAATGCGTCTGATGCAAGCTAATGTTGTGGAACATGTTCCTGGTAAACAGTTAGTGGTGGCAGATACACTCTCAAGACATCCATTGCATGAAAACTGTCAGTCTGACACTGAGAGTCAAGGCTTATGTGAACAATGTATTTTCCAGCAAACCTATAAAATTACAGAAGTTGGAGGAAATCTGCAGTGTCACTCAGATGGACACAGATCATCAGAAAGGGTTGGCAAAGAGTTCACCTCTGCAAGGCTTCTATGTAGCCAGAAGCCATCGTTCAGATTCAGAGGGTCTAGTGCTCTACCATGATCGTATCGTAATCCCCACAGCTCTCAGACCTAATGTTCTATATCAACTGCACAAAGGTCACCAAGGACTGACTAAAAGTCGAGAGCGAGCTAAATTAACAGAATGGTGGCCAAATATTGTACTTCAAATTACAAACAAAGTGAGAACATGCAACTTTTGCAGAGAGCACAAACCTACATAGAGACGTGAACCTCTAGTGTCAGCACCCTTGCACAATGACCCCTGGCAGAAGATTGTAGCTGACCTGTATGAGGTCGAGGGCACGAACTTCCTTGTTGTTGTTGATTATTTTTCAAGAGACATTGAGATTGCATCCCTCACTACCACCACAAGCAGGCAGGTCATCAACAAGCTTAAACACATTTGTGAGATGGGGAATCCCACTGGAACTAGTCAGCGACAATGGAACACAGTTCACATTGTCAGAGTTCCAAGACTTTAAACAGAACTATGGATTAATTTACATAACATCAAGTCCTCATTATCCACAGTCAAATGGGGCTGGGGAAATAGCTGTCCAAACAGCCAAGTACATCCTTAAACAGCCTGACACCTGCTTAGCCTTCATGAGCTATTACTCTACCAATCACAGCAACTGATGCAAACCCAGCTCAGCTTATGACAGGATGTCAAATTCGCACCACTGTCCCATCTCTAGAAAAAATACATTGTTGCCCTGTCCAGCCATTCAGGACATGGTGTGTCAAAAGGATGCTGCAGCTAAAGATTCATATAGATTCTTCTACAACCAAAGACATTCAGCTCATCCACTCCCTGAGCTGCACCCAGGTCAGAATGTTAAAGTGAAGCTTGATGGAGACTAAGGGTGGACAACACCAGCCAAAGTTATCAGTAAATCCAGAGAGTCAAGATCTTACCTGGTGGAGATGGCCAACGGGAAAGTGACTCACCAAAACTGATGACACCTTCAGGCGGACCCCGGGACAGCTGATTCTGATGAGCAACAACAACGCACTGTTCCACCACAGTAGGACTGTGCAATTACAGAAGTGGTGGCTCCCCAGGAACCACCAGCAAGCCAGCCATCGCCAGGCCCTCTCCCAGGGTCTCCTCTTGGGTCAACCACACCCATGAAAGTGACTTCAAGAAGTTGGGAGATAAAAGTGCCACTTAGATTTAGAGACTAATAGTGGTCCCTCTTGTATTATAAAGAGCAGAATAATCCCTTGTGAGGACTGAGGACAGTCTACCCCATGATGTCCTGTATTCTGAAAACACTGCTCCTGTAAGTTCATAGTCCAGAAAAAGAAAATAAATGATTGAGTTTTCAAAAATTACATGGATGTCAAAGCAAACATTTTACTTGCTTATCATCACAAATGGATTACTTAAGATATGTTCTGATACAATACATACAGCGAGAAGTGAATTCATAATTTTGTTCATGCCTTGCTAGCTTTATTTTATTCTGTCAAAAAGAGAAAGAGGGGCGATGTGAGATTTTCTTTATTGTCCTAGTGGGGCTACCATAGGGTGGTTGCCTAGGAGCGCGAACAGAATCCACACTGGAAGTTTATGAGAGACAGGACATGTATGAACCTGCTGTTGTACAATAAAAGCAGCTGATGTTCCAGCAATACTGCGTCTTCCTGCCTCTTATGACAGTAGTTGTTATGAAGAGCTGTGGGGTTCACTCTGTCTGTGTGTGTTGAACAGTAAAATAAAATCTATAAGACGCCACCTGGTGGTTGATTTTTGATCTGCAACAAGAGCTGCACATCTCTCTCAGTAGCTGTGTGCTGCCAATCATGTTACAACGTGAACGCCCGCAGCTTATACACAAGCGCTGCTTATATATGTACTTTGGGAGATAAAGGTGCCACTTAGATTTAGAGACTATTTTAGCGTGCACTCTATAAGCCGGCAATTATGGTATTGTCCCTCACTCGTCTATTTTCCCCCTAACATTTAAATTGTGCATTGTGCTGAAAATTTTCAAGTTGAACTTTTGTAAACAGTCAACTTGACATTTAGGCTATTCAACCAAAAGAATCACAACAACTTAGTGACAGGCCAAAAGTAACAAAGATCCTAATGGAGCAGTTTAAAATGAGCTCTTTTTCAGCCTTACATACATCGCACATGCCTTTTCTATGCTTGAATGACAAAAATTAAATAAAACATTTTTACTCTGGTCAAAGACTATACTTAAAATGGGTTTTAAAAAAATATACATCCAAGAAAAAAATTAGGAGTATAACTTTAAAAAGTATTAACTAATGTGAGGACATTTGGAAGCAAAAAACAAAGGAGAAAAAAATACTCAGAACAACGAAAGGCTCAAGACTTTTGCACCATACTTAGAAAATCATATTGTTCACCTGCTCTGATACGGTAGCCTACCTGATCACACAGAAAGACTACGTTTGTATTGGTAGCTAGCCATTTCTAACCTTTGCTAAATTAAGCTAGGCTAACGGTGTGGTTGCTAATGCGATCATCTCGCTTAACCAAAGGGTAATGTTTTGTTTTTAGTCTTGTGAGCAGTAAACACTTTAAAACTTTCAAAAATATATAATTTGAGCATTCAATATATTTTATTGATAGTTATTTCCCAAAATGTTGAAGTATGACTTTAAAACTATCATTTCCCCTCACCTGAACAGAGCCACACAAGTCACTGGCACTAATATGTACAGTACCACCAACTGTGACTCAAGGGAAATGTAGTTTTCATGAAACAAGGTGAACATTCATTATTACATGCTTTAATCTAAACATACTTTGAGGTAGGATTATGTTTTTAGGCTAAGCTAAAAACATAATCAAAGCCAACAATTTGCAGTAACAATCAGGCAAGCTGTGGAGACTGAGCTTTGTCAAAATTGTATTTCCCAGATATCTGACCAAACATTTAGTGTTTAGAGCTCATTTAAGATTAAAACAGAGGAGCACTTTTGGCCCAGTCTGTTTGAAACTTTAGAAAAATTTTAGATATTTAGTTAATGTAATATGAATGTCACAACACATACAAAGGCTGCAAAATAATAAAAAAGACAAAATACAACTTTTAAAGGCACAATATATTTCAAAACAGATGTTATATAAAATTTGAAGTTGTTCAGTTACAGTAGTCCCTCCCAACTTTGCGGTTCGTTTATCGCGGACTCCTATCACGGTTTTTTAAAATAAGATTGGACATGACACACAATTGGCTGAGTGATGGATGAGCCGCATGATCGGCATGAGATTTTTATTTAAAGTGAATTCTTTAGCACCTGCTGCACATTTGTGCAGCCCAGAGCTGCAGAAAAAGCTTCCTCCTCCAGCTTTGTGAAGCCCTTACAGCTGCAGGATAAACTTCCTGCTGCAGCTGATCAGCTGTTCAGAGTGGAGAAGTGGGCGTGGCCAAGAACGCTTGCAGGTGGCAAATAGCAG